CAGCTATGTATGAAAGAGTGGCCTTTCTCTTAGGAAATGTTCTACTGAGGTTCTGTGCCATGTGCTGTCCTATCTCAGACTGTGATGACAAGGGGTGGTGTTCAAGCTGCTGGAAAAACATCTTAAATCTCAAAAAGACAGAGCATGTTCTCTGCTCACCTTGTACAAGCAATCTGCCTGCAAAGCCCAAGAATCCTTAGAGCTTCAGCTACTTCCAGATAATCCATTTGATCTGTTGAAGAAGACAGAAAACGTTTTTAATGCCTCAGCTAGCAACCCTTCCAACATCTATGAAGCATCTGCAATCTCCAGCTGGAAGAACACCAGAAGGGTGGATTAGGAGGAATTAGTGTGATTGAAGGTGACAAGTGCTTTGACCTACCAAGTTTAACAGAAGAAAGAAACTGACTACAGAAAACCTTACTGGAAAGGGAGAGAGGCATGAAAGCCCTCCACTCCAAGAGACTCATGAAAGCCCTCCACTCCAAGAGAAGCAAGCGCCTGAGAACGGGTGGTAGATCAGGCATCTGAAAGGCTGAGGTTAAATACGTTTCATTTTCTGTTTCCTTTGGTCACATGGAGCACATGTGTGGTGTTGGATTGCATGGGAGCTACTGAAGGCCTTTTCTGGTAGTTTCTCCATTCACCTCTGCTCCTCCCATCTGTGATTTCATTTCTTTTAATTAATGGGTTCAATTATTCAGTGTTTCTCAGATGGTAAAAGATGTTCTGAAAAGTTGAGAAATTTTTGTGCTTTTCTAGCAGCTTCCAAGTTTTTCCCTTGAGGTTTAGTTTTCTCTCTCCACCACGGTAAGTTTCTGCCCCCATCTCTTTTCTCCCGCCTCTATAGGCTTGCTTCTCCTCCAGAGCCCCAGAACCACACCAAGTGATCCGACCACCTGAACGTGGACTCTCCTCCCCTCTTTCCTTTTCAACACATGCGTGTTGATTCTGGGCATCTGGATTCAGGTTTTGGAGTTTCTTTCCAAAGCAAGGAAACTCTGCAGGCCAGCACAAGTGGGAAGAGAGGTGTTCTTACTTGGTCAGTTCCTCAAAAACAGAGTCCAGGAACATTACATGCTCTGGAATAAGTTTGTATCACTCAAGCTTTCTAGCAGCACTGGTCACGTTTCTGCAAACACAGGGCCTTCAACACAGGCTCCCCTCTCTGCGTGTGTCTTGGATGCATTCTGATCATTTTCCCTGGGATTTCCCACAGGCAACGGTGTCAGGCAACCATGTGTTCTTCCATGCCATGAGAGCATGAGCTGCTAAGAGGTGAGTTGGAAGGCTTACAGACCCGTGCACCAACTCCTTTTCACCCCTCCTTTGTGTGTTTCAGACCTGGAAAACTGTGAGGAAGGCTGGACCAAGTTCCAAGGCCACTGCTACAGGCACTTTGAAGAGAGGGAGACCTGGACGGATGCAGAGGCCAAATGCCGACAACATCAAGCCCACCTGAGCAGTATCATCACCCCAGAGGAGCAAGAATTTGTGAACAGTGAGTACTGAGGACAGCCTGAGACTGGGCAGGGGTCCATCCATTGGACTCTGAGTCTATGGGCAGATTTACCCAAAATGACGTAAAAAACCACAATTTCCCCCACTGGTGCTCAGATATTTCCTAATGAGGCCTCACCCTTGCATGGGAGAGGAAGAACTGTCCAGCCGTGAGACAGAAGAGGGCCCTTTCTCAGCTAGGACAGATCTTCACTCTTACCACGTTGCTGATGTGGCTTGTTCACAAGATGTTCACTTGCTGCAACAAGCACAGTGACCCATCCCAGTGTGAGTGGATCCATGCTCATGGCACTGAGTGGGGAGGGAGATGGACAAACATGATGCAGGGGAAAAAGGACATCAGGAGCTAGTGACTGGGAAGGAGCCAAATGACCCAAAGGCTCCAGGGCCAGAGACAACTGAGGTGGCAAAGAAATGCTTCCAGCAAGGTGTAGGGGAACCATGACCCACTCTTCTCTCCCCCTCCGGCTCTTCCAGGCCATGCGCAGGACTACCAGTGGATCGGCCTCAGCGACAGAGCTGTGGAGAATGACTTCCGTTGGTCCGACGGGCACTCTCTGGTGAGCCTGCAGCCTGGGGCACAGGCAGGCACTGGCTTTCGGTGGAAGGAAGAGGTTCCCCTTTGGTTGGAAGAGCCCCATGAGTTACGTGCTGAGTGCTTGGGTTGGGCATTGAGTAGAGGCAGCCCTAAACTTTGTAGAGCTCATGGTTTTTCCAAACCTCTACTAAGGCTGGTCAGCTAAGCTCCTGGGCACCATCGCGGTAGAAATAACCACTGTAGTAGCAGTGCCAGCAACCCATGGTCTCTGCTGGTGAGATGTACGGGGAGGCAGCAGCAGGGATGAAGGAGGGAGTAGAAGAGAGGGCTCAGTCTTAGGTGAAGGGCTTTCCTCTCTCGGCAGCAATTTGAGAACTGGCGGCCCAACCAACCTGATAACTTCTTTGCCGCGGGTGAGGACTGCGTTGTGATGATCTGGCACGAACAAGGCGAATGGAATGATGTTCCCTGCAACTATCACCTCCCTTTCACCTGCAAGAAAGGAACAGGTCAGCACCCTGTGCCGTGCCGGCAAGGTTTGGGGGCATAGGCAGTGGCTGTGGGGCTGGAGCCAGGGCCAGGGTTTCATGTCCCCAGGCAGAGCAGTACCCTTGCTGCAGCATCGCTCCTGCACACCAGCCCCATGCCCTCCCATGGACATGAGTGGCTGTTGTGATGCCCAGCTCTCACTGCCTCTCTGTGAGGCAGGAATGGAGCCCTGAGGCAGACTGCTGCTTAATTTCAAGGCCCGTCACAGAATTTCCATATTCTCCTGCCCCTAAATTTTGTGGACAGAGGCAATCTCAAAATGATTTAAGGTTTTATGAACTTTTTCATCAACTGTCCCTTTTTTGTATTGCCTCTGTCTGTCGTCCCCCCCCCAAACAAAGCAACGATCCTGCTGTGGACATCATGGCAAAAAAAGTCCATCAGGCTCAGGTGATGGCACCTGTCCACCTGGGACCCAGACACCTTCTAGATCAGAGATGTTATTCCAAGGCGGGAATAACAGGGGAGGGCATCACTTCCATTGCATGTCAGGGCTGTGCAAAGATGGCTGTGGACACAGCTGCCTCTTTCCACCCCAGAAGTGACCACCTTTCAAGCAGCCGCTGCACACCGCTTCTCTCCAGCACTTGGAGACCCCACGGGATGGGGTGCAGAAGAAGCAGAGTGACGAGGCTGTGCGTGCCCAGCCTGCACCAGGCAGGCAGGAGCTGCCTGGGTGTGAGCTGCTCGCTCAGCCAGGCAGCACTCCTCAAGCTCTCCATGTCTCTGCCCATCTCCTGCAGTGGCCTGTGGGGACCCCCCCATGGTGGAGAACGCCAGGACCTTTGGTCGGAAGAAGGACCGCTACGAAATAAACTCCATGGTGCGGTACCAGTGCAACCAAGGCTACATCCAGCGCCACGTGCCCACGATTCGGTGCCAGCCCAACGGGCAGTGGGAGGAGCCACGGATATCTTGCATAAACCGTACGTCTCGCCCCCCTCACCTTTGGGATAGGGCTGATGCATCCCTGCAGCTGGGAGAAGGAGCTGGGAATGAGGGGAGCATCGCCTTAGGGTGCAGGTTAGCTCCGAGCCAGGCAGAAGGGGACATCATGGTCCCCTTGACTTGTCGAAAGCTCCCCTGTGGTGGGGCCATGGGAGCTGGCATCTTCTGGGCAGGTGTGGACCACGGGGGCTGGCTGGAGGGGCGGCCCAGGCAATTCCTGGAGCCAGGAAAGGGCAACAAGGAGCTTACCAAGGGCCCAGGCTACTTAAAGAAAGGAAAGAAAAAGGGGGAGTTTTGGGACCACCTGCATCAGCAGAGAGAATAGGAGGGGAGAACTGTGCTCCCTGCCGAGACCTCCCCGGCATCCCCCTGCCCTGGGAGCGGACAGGAGCCCTGCAGCAGAGCTAAGCCAAGGGACAGGGCTGGGCTCCTCACCCTTCTCCTGTCAGGCCTCCAGCTGATGGCAGCCAGCCCTCTCCCACTGGCGTCCCAGCCCACGCCCGGGCCTGCCTACGCCCCTGCCCCATCCCTGCTCGCTTGCAGTTTCCCAATAATTTCATTGGCCTCAGCCAAATCACATCTGTCCGGTGGCCTCCTTGCCAGGTTCCGGTCCAGCTGGGCAATTCCAGCTAAAGTAACAGTCCCACAGTCAGGGAAAGTTGATACGGGCGTAAGGGACAAACCTCCGCCCCAGGGAGGAGATGGAAGGCGGAGGGATGGAGGAGGTGTCCGAGGGCGGCCGGGTGGTGTGGAGCAAGCCACTGACTCCCTTGGCTCTGCCACAGACCTGGAAGGCTGCAGGCTGCTCCCAGCGCAGACCATCAGCCACCAAAAGGCCTAC